AGTCTCACCCCAACCCTAACTGTTCACCCTTATCCAAACCCTGACATTAACCCTGTCCAAAACCCTAACCTTAACCATAACCCTAACCCTCACCCTTACCCTAACCCTAACTCTCACCTTCACCTTATCCAAACCCTAACCTTAACCCTAACCTCAGCTTCACCCTTATCTATACTTTCCCCTTACCCTAACCCTACTCCTCACCCAAACCCTAACCTTTACCCTAACTCTAACACTCTTCTTCACCCTCAACCTAACCGTCACCCTCACCCTAAACCCTAACCCTCACCCAAATCTTACCCCTAACCCTAACTTTAACCCTTACCCTAAATGTAACCCTCACCCTGACCCTCACCTTCACCCTTCCTTAACTTTAACCCTAAGTGTAAGCCTCAACTCAAAACTAACCCTAACTTTAATCCTTATCCTAACCCTAACACTCACCTTTACCCTCACCCTAAACCCTAATCCTCAATCTCACCCTAACAAGAACTCTAACCCTAATGTTCATCCTAATCCCCACACTAACCCTAAACCTAACCATGATCCACACCCTAACCATAACCCGATCCGGATCCCTGACCCTAACCCTAAACCTCATCCTAATCCTAAACCTTCCCCTCAGCCTCATCCTGACCCTACAACCAGCCCGATCTTTAACCCTGAGCTGAACCCTAATCCTAATTCTAACCCTCAGCCTCACCCTGACCCTAAACCTCACCCTAAACCCGAGCTCTCATCCAAACCTTAGCCCTAATCTCCCATCCCTAATCGTTACCCTAAATGTAACCCTCACCCTGACCCTCACCTTAACCCTATCCCTAACTCTAACTCTCAGTGTAAGCTTCACCTCAAAACTAACCATAACATTAATCCCTATCCTAACCCTAACCCTCAACCTAACCCTCACCCTAACCCTAACTCCAAACCTAACCCTAACCCTAACCTTAACCCGTATCCCTAACATTAATCCTAACTCTGTCCCTAACCCTAACTCTAACCTTAAAACTAACTCTAACTCTCAGCCTCCGTCTCACCCTATACCAAAACCTAACCATGTTCCTAACCTTAACCTAATTCTAATCCTCACCTTAACCCTAATCCTAACTCTAAATCTTACCCTCAACCTCACCTTAACCATAACTCTCAGCCTCATTGTAACCCTAACCCTAACCATCACCCTAACCCTAACCATAATCCTAACCCTAACCCTAACCTTAAATCCATCCCTCATCCTCAATCTAACTCTAATCCTAACCCTAACCGTAACACATACCATAACCCTTATGACCTTATCTAACTTCCCCTTAAATAAATCTGTATTTTCCATCAGTCCATGGTATATTTATGGTCTTCAGTCCTGGTCTCTCCCACAAATTGTGTACAGTTTTGGGTCCCATATCTCAGGAAGGATGTATTGGCCCTGGAGCAGGTTCAGAGGAGGTTCACGAGAATGGTCCCAGGAATGGAAATCTTAACATATGAGGAACATTTGAGGACTCTGGGGCTATACTCATTGGAGTTTAGAAGGATGTGGGGGGATCTAATTGAAACTTTCAGAGTACTGAATGGCCTGGACAAAATGGATGTTGGGAGGATGTCTGGTAGAAGAGTCTAGGTCCCGAACGCACAGCCTTAGAGTAAAGGGAAGACCTTTTAGAATGGGGATAAGGAGAAACTTCTTCAGCCAGAGAGTGGTGAGTCTATGGAATTCACTGCCACAGATAGCTGTGGAGGCCAGGTCACTGAGTACATTTAAGACTGAGATAGATAGGTTTTTGATTATCAAGGGAATCAAGGGTTACAGGGAGAAAGCAGGAGAATGGGGTTGAGGAACTTATCAGCCATGATTGAATGGCAGAGCAGACTCAATGGGCCGAATGGCCTAATTTCTGCTCCTATGTCTTATGGTCTTAAATATTCCAGGTATCTATCCAGTTAGCCTTCAATCCTTTCTGTGCTCATGTGAACAGCCCAGCCTCTCTCCTGTTAGGTGTAACCTCTCAGTTTTACTGTCATTCTGGTGAATTATTTTGTATCTTCATCAGCGCCTCTACATTCACTGGAACACAGGAACAGGAGGAGGCCATTCAGCCCCTTGAGCCTGTTCTACCATTTAACAAAATGATTGCTGATCTGTGGCCTGGCTCCACCTGCCTTTGGCCTACATTCCTTCATACCATTGCTTAACAAAAATTATCTATCCCAGATTTAAAATTAACAACTGTTCCAGCACCCTCTGCCATTGTGGAAAAGAGAGTTCCAAACCCTTTGTGTGTAGAAGTGCTTCTGAACATCTCTCCTGAAGAGTCTGGCCCTAATGCTCATACTGTGCCTTCTAGTTCTAGAATCCCCAACCGGTGGAAATGGTTTATATATTCAAATATCTACGGTGATGGGGAATCTTCTACGAATAATTATTTGGGAGACAACTAATAGGCACATGGAAAAAGTGGACCGATTGGGAAGATTCAGCGTGGATTTCCAAAGTGAAAATCAGGTTTAACTAAAATGTTGCAGTTTTTTGAAGAGGTGAAAGAAAGACTTGATGAGCGTAACACTGCTAATGTGGTTTACATGGACTTCCAGAAAGTGTTTGATACAGTGCCACACAACAGACTTATGAGAAAAGATATAGGTCACAGAATAAAAGGGACAGTAGCAACATGTGTACAGAATTGGCTGAGGGATAGGAAACAGAGAATAATGGCTAATGGATATCAATGGATATCTAGAGGAAGATTTGTAGTTGAATACCCAAGGGTCAATATTGGAATTCTTGGTTTTCCTGATGTACATTAATGATATGGGTCTTGGCGTGATGGGGACAATTTCAGAGTTTGCAGATGACACTGAACTTAGGAGAATTGTAAACTGTGAGGAGGACAGTGTGGAACTCCAAAAGGACATTGGTAAAGTGATGGAACGGATGGATTGGTGGCAGATAAGGTACAATGCAGAGAAATGTCAGGTGTTGCACTCTGAAGAACATTGAAAGACAATATTAAATTGGGGTACTATTCTAAGCGGGGGGTGCAAGAGCAGGGACTTGGGTGTAAATGTGCACGGATCATTGAAGGCAGCAGGATAAGTGCACAGAGCAGTTAATAAATCACCGTGTGTTCTCTACTTTATTAATAGGGGCATAGAGTGTAAGAGCAAGAAGGTGATACCTAATTTACACAAGACACTTGTTAGACCTTGGCATTGTGACAGTTCTGGACACCACATTATAGGGAGGATGTGAGCACATTGCAGAGAGTGCAGGAGTGATTTACAAGAATAGTTCCAGGGATGAGACACTGAGGACTGTTCTCCTTGCAGAGAAGAAGGCTAGGAGGAGATCTGATGGACGTTTTCAAAATCAGAATTGGGCTGGACAGATTAGATAGAACAAAACTGTTCCCACTTGTAAAAGGATCAAGGATGAGAAGTTAGAGATTTAAAATGAGCTGCAAATGCAGCTCTTTCACTCAATGGGTAGTTAGGATCTAGAATGTTCTGCCTGGAAATGTGGTGGAGGCAGGATCAACTGAGGCATTCCAGAGGGGCACTGGATGATTATTTCAATAGAAATAATGTTCAGGGTGAGAAGCAGGAGATTGACACAGAGTCAAAATGCTCCCAGAGCTGGTGCGGATATGATGGACTGAATGGCTTTCTGCATCATAACAATTATGTGATTCTGAACATTGAGGCCAGACCTGCCCGACATAAGGTTAACACAAACTCTCTGGTTTCTAATTCCCTTGAGAAATGACACCCCCCTCACTACTTTGTCTGCTTTATTTATCTATTAGGATTTTGCTGGGAACATCTCTGCTCTAAATTGCAGCCATCAATCCTAGCCTCTCTCATGTTTTTCTTCTTTGTTCTTTAATGGGATGAGGACGTTGCTGACTAGGCAGCATTTATTGCCCATCCCTAATTGCCCAGAGGGTAGTTCAGAGTCAACTACATTGCTGTGGGTCTGGGGTCACATGTAGGCCAGACCAAGTAAGGATGGCAATTTCCTTCCCTAAAGGACATTAGTGAACCAGATGGATCTTTCCCAACAATCAGCAATGGATTCATGGTCACCATTAAATTCTTAATTCCCGATATTTTTATTGAATTCAAACTCCACCATCTGCCACAGTGGGATTCGAACTGTCCCCAGAATGTTATCTGGGTCTCTGGATTAACAGTTTGTCAATAATACCAGTAGGCATTGCCTCCCCTTACTGTGATTACTGAAGTCACAATTACCTCAGAAACACATCTGCATATTCATCAAAACCCTGTCTCTGTTGATCCCATGGCCATTCCACAAACGTATTAATGTTATTTACTTCAGTGCGACCCTCCTCCTCTGTATTAATTACTCCCCAGTCAGTGCCAGATGCAAATTCAAACGTGACAATATGATGTTACCCTCAGTCACTGCCCATTTCTCCATGTCCACATTCCAGCTGGATGTCAGGGATTGTGATCAGGAGAGGGAATCATGTCTACTTTATTCTAAACTGGGACAGGATGACCAATAGCAGCAGGCCCCAGTAGCTGAGCTGATCTACCTGAGCAGGCTGGGGTTGTTTAGTCAGAGGAACTTGTTACAGGTCCAGTCTCCCACGATAGTCAAAGTGAGATTGGATCATCTGCACCTCTTCTGTCATCCAGTTAGACCTAATGTAATTAAAACATCCTTCAGTCAGGTCACAAATCAATACATGGCAGAACTTCAGAATCCGAAGGAAATTTAGCTAAAATAAAGAATTGTAGATGCTGGAGATCTGAAACAAACAGTAACATGAAATGCTAGAGAAACTCAACAGGTCTGGCAGCATTTGTGGAGAGAGAAATAGAGTTCTGACAAAGGGTCACTGGACTTGAAACGTTATCTCTGTTTCTCTCTCCACAGGTGTTGCCAGACCTGCTGAGTTTCTCAAGAGATTTAGCTGCTTACTCAAGAATGGTTGAAGCCCTGTAGAAAATCATTTATGCTTCTGTATTATTTTCAGACATGCATCCTGTGGTTTCACTCAAAAGATTGCTTCCACACACACCGTAATGTCACCAGGTAAGAACTGTCTCTCTGATTGATCTGTTAAATGAGAAATAGAGTGGAACTGGGTCCCTTTCACTTGGCCAGGCCAATGGAAATGGATATTTTCTACTGACTCTAAGGGCCTCACATCAAATGATCTTGGTCTAATTGAAGTCCTTAAAATGATGAAAGGTTTTGATTGAGTGAGTACAGAGAGAATGTTTCTTCTTGAGGGGAAGAGCAAACCTAGAGATGGTCAGTATTAAATAGAGACCAAGAAATCTAATCAGAAATTCGGAAAAATCTACTTCACCCAGAGAGCTCGGAGAATGTGGAACTCACTCCCGTAAATCAAAGAATCCCAACAGTGTGGAAGCAGGCCATTCAGCCTAGCAACTCCACACCAACCCTTCGAAGAGCATCCCACCCAGATCCACCCCACCCCCCACTCTATTTTTTAAGATTGTATCTCCGTACACGTGACAATAAAATCAATGAAAAGCTTTGTTTACGAGCGGTACAAGCAGATCACAGCAAGCAAAGGATGTACAGATCAAAAAGACTTCGAGGCATACAGGTCACATTGCACGTTACATTATTTGGGGTTAGAGTACATTCAACAGTCTGATAATAGCCGGAAAGAAGCTGTTCCTGAACCTGCTCATGTTTGTGTTCAGATTTCTGTATCTTCTGCCTGACGGAATAAGTTGTAGGAGGTCATTACCGGGGTGCGATGGGTCTTTGATGATGTTGGCCACCTTTCCGCAGCAGCAGGCCGTGTAAATAGAGTCCATGGATGGAAAGTTGACTTCCATGATGGTCTGGGCTGTGCACACCACCTTCTGTAGTTTCTTACGGTCCTGGTTACCGTACCAGGCCGTTATACACTCAGACAGTATGGTTTCAATGGTGCATCTGTAGAAGTTGGTGAGGGTCCTTATGGACATGCCAAATTTCCTGAGCTGCCTGAGGAAGAACAGGCATTGTTTTGCCTCTTGACTGTCGCATCTACGTGGGAATTCCAGGACAAGTTGTTGGTTATCGTCACTCCAAGGAACTTGATGCTCTTCCCTCTCTCAACCTCAGTTCTGTTGATGTAGATGGGGGCGTGTTCTCCTCCTTTCTTTCTGAAGTCAATGATCAGTTCTTTAGTTTTCCCGACATTTAGAGAGAGGTTGTTCTCATTGCACCACATCCCCAAGCCTTCTGTCTCCCTTCTGACTCATTGTTGTCCCACAACAGTGGTGTTGTCAGTGAACTTGTATCCCTATAACTCTACATTTCCAATGCTTAATCCACCTAGCCTGCACATCCCTGGACTGTGGGAGGAAACCAGAGTACCCAAAGGAAACCCACGCAGACATGGGGAGAATGTGTAAACTCCACACAGACAGTTGCCCGAGGGTGGAATTGAACCCGGGTCCCTGGCGCTGTGAGGCTGCCGTGCTAACCACTGAGTCATTGGTAAGGGGGTGGCTGAAGTGAATAGTATCGATTGATTGAAGGGAAAATGAGGAAACAATATGAGAAAGAAGGCCTCAGAAGGATTCAATGGTTGGAAAGATGGGAGCATAAACACCAGCATGAACTGGATGGGCTGAATGGCCTATTTCCCTGCCATGCATTCTCCATAATCCCATACTTTAAGGAAGAGTGAACTGGAGAAGCAAAGAGATGCAAAGAAAGGGAAAATTAAAGAAAGGGCCACTCCTGGTGGGGCAAAGACAAGGGGAGAGTTCACAGGAGGCCAGAATGAAAGGAGAGGAGAGAGTTTGAAGAAGCACAGGGCTGGAGGAGGTGTGTGAGAAAGAGAGAGAGAAGGAGACAGTAAAGCTGATCCCTTCAGAGACTCAGTGAAGATGGAATCCAACGTGACATTCTCACCCCCTAACAAGGCAATATAGAACTAGACAGAACAAACAGAGGGGCCCTCCCCCACCTGCCCAGCCTCTGGTTAAATATTAACGTGATCTCAGTTTCAATCACCGACATTTACACAGTAATCCGTAACCTCACAACCCTCTGTGTCAAAGGGTTACTCCTGCTTTCCATCCTAAACATGTTGTTTAAAGTTTTCGAGAAGATTTGTAGCTCGGGTTGTGGATGAGGTTGTAGACTTGCTCGCCGAGCCAGTAGGTTTGGTTGCAAATGTTTCATCACCCTGCTAGGTAACATCATCAGTGCGCCTCCGGTGAAGCGTCGGTGTTCTGTCCCTCTTGTTATTTATATACCTCAGTTTGCTGGGGTGGTTGATATTACTTCCGGTTTTGTTTCTCAGTGGTTTGTACACAGGGTCTAACTCAATGTGTATGTTGATGGAGTCCCAGTTGGAATACCAGGCCTCCAGGAATTCCGTGGCGTGTCTCTGTTTGGCTTGTGCTATTATGGGTGTGTTATCCCAATCAAATTCGTGTCCCTCGTTGTCCGTGTGTAGTGAGACAAGTGAGAATTGAGTCATGTCTCTTGGTGGCTAGTCGGTGTTCATGTATCTATATTGTCATATTGGATCCCCAATATCAGGATTGATTGTAGAAGCAGTAATGCAAAGGTTAGAATGGACAGTGCTCCCCACTGTACAGCCCAAAGTCTGGGTCCAATTTGTAGACAACACCTTCATGATTATTAAACGCACAAAAGGAGAAGAAACCCACCGACACATAAACAACATCCTCATTGGAATAAAATTCACAAAAGAAGAACAATAACCGACTGCCCTATAATGGTAGAACGCAAAAACAATGGGAACTCCAGACTAGCGTACATAGAAAGACCACACATATGGACCAGATACTCAATTACACTAGCTACCACCCCAACGCCCACAAACAGGGCTGCATCAGGACACTATTTAAAAGAGCCACAACACATTGCAGTAAAACAGGAACTACGCAAAGCAGAACAGGAACACTTGTACAGAGTCTTCAAAAGGAATGGATACCCGGAAAGCACAATCCGCTGTTACCTCCAAGATAGACCACAACAGGAAGACACAACACGACCAGACTCACTAATCACCCTACCATACATCAAGGACATTTCAGAGATGACCACAAGACTACTCAGACCCATAGGTATCCCACAAACCAACAACGACCCCACGACAGCTACTGACGAACGTAAAGGATCCAATACCCACAACCAGTAGAACTGGCATAATATACAAAATACCATGCAAGGACTGTGAGAAACCACTACATAGGCCAAACCGGAAGAAAACTGACAATACGGATACACGAACAACAACTAGACATCAAGAGACACGACCAGTTCTCACTTGTCCCACTACACAGAGACAACAAGGGACACAAATTCGACTGGGACAACACATCCATAATCTCACAAGCTAAACAGCGACACACTAGGGAATTCCTGGGGGCCTGGTATTCCAACCAGAACTCCATCAACAAACACATTGAATTAGACCCTG